TCTTCAATTGCCAAGTCCTCTGTTTTCAACTAAAGAACTATCCTTCTGGGAGACTTTACTTCCTACACCAGCATGTAAAGCTATTTATAGGCACATGTGGACACCTGTTTTGCCTGGAGCAGTATTGTAAGTGTCAGCACAGTGCTCCGTTATTAGCGGGTATGGAGAGATTGCTGCATCCACTCTGACCTGGGGCTGGCTTGCTGGTACTGGATAAAAGCCTCCAATGAGGGTGGACTGACTGTGGCCTGTCAGTCCTCCTTCCCCCACCAGTGCAAAGCCTGAGACCCTCTGACCTGTCCCTCCAGCTGCAGGCTGCCCCTTTGACCTGTCATCCCTATTGTGCTCCTCTTGAGGTTGATCTTGACCACATTCGTCCTTCTGGATGGATGCACATGCACAAGGAGGGCCAGCACACAGTGGGTCTTCTCTGGGCTCACTCTCTACTAGGATTTCTAGAGAGGATGGCCTTGAGCCGCTCCCATCACCTCCCAAAGGACATCACGACTGAAACTTTGAGCAGACTACGTAGTCACCTTTTTCCCTTCTACTCTGACTACCAAACTTCTAAGCCCAAAGAGTGGCCTAGTCTAGTCACATTCAGGCTCCTTCCACCTCAGAGATCTCAGGCCTGTTTACAAAAACTGCCTTCTGTTCTGAGTCTCTGATCTCCTTCCTAGCCAGAGGGCAGGGATCCCAAAAGATGGTGTCCTTCGGTGCCAGGCTGGGTCCACTGTCATGGAACAGGGAACTTGGAACCAGGCAACAGTTTTGAGGAATAGCTTCCAGTGAGATCCCAGTCACAACACAGCCAGCAAGAAGCCAAGTTTCCAGACACGTAACAAGAGAAACCAGAATGTGAGGGCTTAGAAATCTGGGGAACCTGCACAGAGGGAGGGAGGAAGACACTAGGAGAGGTCATTCTCTCAGCCCCCAAGCACAGGGCATGGGCTCTACTTTTTATGTGACCCCTGTGTCCCCTGAGGATACAGCCCAAAGGCAACTGTCTGATCTCCTGTTCAGTCTTGCTCATATCTGGAAAGATCTTCCAAAGAAAGGAATTCCCTTGGTACTTATCAAAAGTTCAGAATTTTTAATCCATTCTTTGGTGAAGTGCTACAGGACAAACACAGGCATAAAAAAGGCTTTTTCTTGGCTGGAAAACTGTGTTGAGCATAGAATAAGGCTTCCAGGGATCAGGGATAAAAATAGGTCGTCTGTCTCCTCTACCGAGTATCATGAGAGAAGCCAGAAGAGGGAAGAGGGGCTATAAACCCCTTTCTCTATTTTGGGAAAGGCATGTCCTTACTTGATGGTTTATTGATAATAATGGAGTACAAGCTGGAAGGACATCCAAGATTATGATTTTCAAACTCTCTGCAAAATCTTAAGAGTTCAGGGAGGTCCCAGGTTGTCATCATGCTGGTAAGTGAAGGGCCAAATTCACCAGCACCGCCCCCCCCAACTTCAACCAGAGAAGCTCTGCTTTAATCTGGTTATGTATTCAGGTTATGTCATAATGATTTCATGGCTATAGAGAAGTTTGCTTGGAAGCCCATGAGCTACTCCAATGCCTTATTTCACAAGGAAAATGAAAACCAAACAAGCAAAAAATGAGGGGCAGAGAGACTGAATGACATGCCTACAGAAAGTGAACGCTGAATCAAGATGAGAATTTGGGTATCCCGACTCTGATTCACTCAACATTCATCGAACAAGTACTTATTTAGCACTATTAGGTGCAAAGCATTTTGCTTCATAAGGTCAGGGTACCATGGTTGCTGAAACCCAAGAAGTTTAGGATCTAGTGGAGCTTCAGAGTTTGGTTCCCTGAATATGACCTTAGCATACATTGTTGATGAATGCTCAAAAAATGGAAATGCAGCATGGTAATGTAGCTTTCCAAATTGATTCAGCCAGTACCCCTAGATCTGGGCAAATGTTTTCTTTCATTCTTGTTCTAGAAAGTTAGCATTGCTGATACATTCCTAGGCTGACAGTTATTTTCTTTGAGCACTTTGCATTCCATGGTCTTCTAGGTGATGTTGAGAAGTCCAACGTCAATCTAAATGTCATCCCTTTGTAGATGATATGCCTTTTCTCTCTGGATGCTTTTAAGATGTTCTCTTTGCTTCAGGAGTCTACCATTTCAGTACAACGTATCTAGGTTTGTGTTTTATTTATCCTGCTTGGGATACATTGTACTCCCTGAACTTAGTAATTCATTGATTTTATCCCTTCTGGAAAATTCTTAGTCATTGCTTCTTTAAATATGGCCTCTCTTCTTCTCTGGGACTTTGGGACTTTAATTAGCTGCATGTTAGACCCTCTTACTCTGCCCTCCATATTTTTTTTTTTTAAATATTTAATTTATTTATTTGACATAGAGAGAGAGAGACAGAGTGAGCACAAGCAGGGGGAGTGGCAGGCAGAGGCAGAGGGAGAAGCAGGATCCCCACAGAGAAGGGGGAGCCC